CATACATTTTGGATAGGTGTCGAACCCTCTGAAAAGGAGGGCCCACCTCTACACCCGTTCCACCCATTCCTCTATCCTCACAATCACCCCTTCCTTCCGACCAAATTCGTATTGAATTCGTGGGGGGCTGTAGGCAAATGGACACTCTATTCCCGACACCATTCTATAGTCTTCTCTCTAAAGAGTGGGTTCTCATTAATCAATTAGTTCTTAGGGCGGCGAATAAAATTCAAAATTCACTTTAGTTGTGATTCCCAGTGCCATAGCACAAGCCACAGGACCAAAAACATACCTTCACAAGGAGTCTCATAAAACTATTCCAAACTCCGGAAATTAGCGTCAAACCTTGAATTAGCGACTACGGTAGAATCCGTGCGTCGCTCCGACTCATCGAATAAGGGATTAGGAAGCTCTTGCTCGCCGGATTAAATCAGAATTCTTGGAAAAATAGAAGAGCAAGAGGGTTGCCCGTCTCGAACTCCCTGAAATATCGCCGGAAATCGCATTTGTTCAGTGAATCGACGGCCAAGATGCGATGCCGGATGCGGAAGTTGTTGTTTATTCGCAGGAATAAGGTATTGTGGTCATACTTTAATAGAAAGCTTGTAAAACTAGCAAAAACTGTATATCGATAAGGATAAAATTTTTCAGATTTGCGATTTATCGCTGATATTGGCAATTGCGGGTCTGTTGCTGATTGTTGTCGATTCTGAATTGACGGCGTTAAAAGCGGTGACAGGTGTTGACAAGGTACAAACTATAATCTTATTTCACACTTACTTCCGTAGAAAATAAAACTATTTAGAAAACTTACGTCTGCCGGCAATATCCAAGAGTTATTAATTTTTCAGACTCATTGGGCATCTCTACTACTCCGTGGTGCCGCCGTAATGACTACACTATCTCTAATGGCCTGTCTCTGCAATTATCATGCCATCGAAGTGACTTCAAAGTCCCTTTAAAATAACCAAGAGTCTAGGTAAAAATTGCGCTGATAGACTCGGGTGCGGATGATTGGAGGGTGGCATTAAGTACGGATCGAATATTGAAATTGACGCTGGAATTGGTTGTTTGTTCTATATGTCCTTTTCCAGGTTTGTATTGCAATAGAAAATTAAAATTATATTCATCTTTAGGGACTGGTTCTGTTGCATGGCCCTTCATATCACCCGAAACGAGAAAAGTAACGATGATACAGGTACCGGAAAATTTATCCAAAAAGGTAAAAACGCAAAATTTTAGGTGCCAGTTGATGTGCTACTGTCGGTGCCAATGTTCTTGAGAAGCTACCTTCTATGTCGTTTTATGGTCCTCCACAGCAAACAGTTCCAAGACGCAGCTACCCGCTCTATCGCCGCCCTGAACCGTATTTCCATGGATTTCCGATTTGTTATAAAAACGATGATGTCCGAGCATCCGCTTCGAGTGGGTTTCTTAAACGCGCAACTTTTTATTGATCATAGACCCTAAATTCCTACATCTTTTTAGGTTCTTATTGTTTTCACCGTGACTTATTGGGTGTGTATGAGTTGGATGTTTACGCAATGCGAGCGGTATTTTAATGAAAAATTGAGTAAGGGGAGTAGTTTTAGATATGACGGGAAGCTGGATACGGAGCATTACTATATGAACTCAATGTGGTTCATCATGGTTACGTTCATGTCGATCGGTTATGGTGATATTGTTCCAAATACGTATTGTGGACGGACCTTGTCAATTGCTACGGGGATTGTGGTAAGCAGGAACTTAAGGATAAGCCTAATCCTTAATAGTATGACTTGTAAGTAACAATAGCTTCAAAAAATATGTGGATAAATTCATAGATAATATATAAATAAAGGCATTAGTCTCAGCCATAAATAAACTTGTATCTACGATATAATGTAACGTTTTAGGGAGCTGGTGTCTCCTCAGCTCTCATCGCCGTCATCTCCCGTAAACTGGAATTATCTCGAGCTGAGAAACACGTCAACAACTTCATGGCCGATTCAAAATTGACCAACCAGCGCAAAAACGCGGCAGCCTCCGTCCTCCAGGAAACGTGGTTTATCCATAAGTTCAAGAAATCGACGAACAAGGGCGATGAACTTCGACTCCGCCACCATCAACGAAGGTATCAGCAAATTTTGTTTTGAAAATTGATTCGTTTTAGATTCCTACATTCTATCAACGAATTTCGGCGTATCAAATGGGATCAACGAAAACTGCAGGAGAAGGGGAACTCACTGCTTGATGTCGGGAAACTGCATGCGGATATGCATGAGACACTTTGGGAAATGCATCGTACCCAGGACCATTTTATAACGCAGGTATCGGTTGTAGTTTGAGTATGAAATTCACTGATGATTAGGTGGATCTGCTGACGCAGAAGATTGTGGAGCTGCAGAATACGTTGTTGCTCCAGGGTGGGCGAATCCCACCGCCATTGCCTTCACAAGGGAGTACGGCTCACAGTACGCCGCAACCAAATCTGATACCACCGGTGGGTTGAGAGAGAGAGAGAGAGAGAGAGAGAGAGAGGGAGTGATAGTGATAGAGTGAGAGAGTGAGAGTGATAGAGTGAGAGAGCGAGAGAGAGCGAGACATACAGGGAGAGATATTTCAGTATTCAGTATGTCAAAATATGTGGACCCAATTCTATCCCAAAAAAATTGATATTAAATACTTAACAAAATTTGGGCATTTGGAAATTGAAAAACAAAATGTCGAAAAAATGTTGATATTCTGTTAACAATCCCTTTTTTAGAGCTTCTCCCTCTCCCGCTTAAACGTGCCAGGCGGAAGCCAACTAAATTCTCCAAGCGGTTCTTCCCAGGCCATCGTACCCAGCCAATCACTCACCAACACCGCCCCATCCTCCTTCAGTAATCAACCATTCGCTGGACCATGCGGTAAGTCTACAAAAAACTATATACCTTCAAATCCATTACAGTAACCACCGAAACGCACCAAATGACGTCCCCCAACCCACTAAACCCAGCAAGCTACTCGAGTTCTAATGGCGCAGCTTTCCCAAATAACCCCAGCGCCCCCTTGCTGCATTCAGTCGAAAATGAATAATTTGGCCACATCTCTCTCTATATCTTGCGTCGTCATTGTCGTAGCCTCTTGTACAGGTCTCAACCCCCCGGTTTGTGATATCTAGTCCACACATTTCCACCAATCAATCCGCTTCCGAATCCCTTTAAAATCCCTGCAGTATTGAAACGATGTCGAATCCATCGGGTACCTGAGGATTTCCAATTGATCTTTTCTTTCCCGCCCTTCCCCCTAATTTCCTTTTTCATTTTTAATGTTGCTATGAAGATTATATTTGCACGAATCGCCATATCATTCATTGCTTGATACAGAAATAGTTTGACCGGAATGATTTTATTGATATCCCGATGCGTAAGGTTTTCGATTTTGTATGGAGGCAGAGAATGCATAAATTTATTATGGTTTGATAAAGTTACACTTGAATATGAGAGAGAGAATGAGAGAGAGAGAGGGAGAGAGAGAATAAGAGAGAGAATGAGAGAGAGAGAGTGAGAGAGAGAGCGAGAATGAGAGAGAGGGAGAGAGAATGAGAGAGGGAATGAGAGAGATAGAGAGAGAGAGAGAGAGAGAGAGAGAGAGAGAGAGAGAGAGAGCTAGGCAACAAATTCTCCACACATTGTATGCGAACTATCATTTGCGATGGCCTTGTACATTCAAGAAAGTTGAGCGTTAAATTAAGCCAAATATCCATATAACAACAACCACCCGTAAATCACAAGATTGAAATTAGAATAACTAAAGACCGTTTGAAATTATGGCTTCAACTTCCCAATGCAACACTCTTCCAACTTTTTCTCAATCATCTTCCATGCAAACCCATGCGCACCGACCCTTGGAAGTGTCATTGTAGCATCCTGGAATTTAAGCTATATTATCATTTTAAGTATACACTACCTTCCCCGCTTTCCTCAACATTGCCGACCCTCCAGGATGTTGTTGGTAGTAACTTGTCATGTTGTAAACCTATTCAAACATTGCAGACAAATCAAAACTACCTTATTGCCATAAATAATCCACAAATCGTCGGCCGTACAGTGTCGTGCAACCTCATTAACGGAATATTCCTTTAATTCGGGAGCCATTGAAATTTAGTGAAAATGAGATGGTGAGGTGTGTAGATCGATTCGAGGGCCAGGTGTCTCCGGGCTAAGCCGCCATTTCCGGGAATGTCTAACGAGGATGCGGCCAAGATGGCGGGCGTTGTCAAGTCGTGTGGTTGGTACTTGGTGCTAAATTTTGGGGGATTATTGAAAGCCGGAAGTAGGAAGAAAAGTGAGACGTCTTATACTGATAAAAGTCTTATAAAATATATATGTAAAAGTAGCCTAATAAGATCCTTACAAAAATTCTAAATATCTCAATTAATACGTAGTCAATTCGCAAAGTTTCCGATTTCACGCATGAAGAGTATAAAAATAGCAAAGTACCGTTGAACCCTTAAAATTCACTTTGCATTTTAAACTTTCCAGTGTTGTCTAGTTTTCCAAAAATCTATTTTTTTGGTCGTATTAGTTAGTATTAGTTGAAGGGCTCTTTCTATTTTCTTTCTACAGTATCCCTGGCAATTTCGATATTTTTATGGACTTGATTACTTCTGTAAGATTATTTACACCCGTCGGAATGTATGGCCTTGGAATCGCTTTCAAAGTAGCGCCACCCGCAGCAGCCGATAAAGGGTTCAATTTCGGGGGAGAAAATCAAGGGGGTTAGAGAAAAAAAGTGGGGTCCCCCGTGAACAGCCGGTGCACAATCGCCCTCCTGTCTACCCCTTTCCAGTTTACGGCATGCTTTTCGTATTTTTGGACAGATCGCGTTAGCTGGTCAATGTTCTTTGACTGCTTTAATAAACATAGATGTCAATGTTTTTATTTTTTGTTTTAGAATAGATAAATTTTTTAAAAAATGGAAAAATTCTCAGAACGGGTATATTTAGGTAAAAGCGCCGGTCGTCCAAAGACTAAATGGCGCTCCTTTACGGGATATTGTCAATTGCAATTTCTATCCTCACAATCCTTCATTTCTACTCCCGGTTGGTCGCCCGAAGACCGAGATTCCACGCTAAAGACGGGAAATTCCGTGATTTCGTTGAACAACATGTTCCGATTCTGCAGCAGGTATTTTCAAAACCTTTACAGCCTTATTGCTTTTAATCTAATTAGCTTTTAATCGAAATGTTTTCAAATTAAGCCAGAACCCTTAATTCTCACTCGAATCGATAAGGGGCGAATGCCCGAGAAAGGCTCTCTTTGCCAAGGAAATATCGCACCACCTGGGAATATGGCAGCGCTGCGAGCGGGCGATAATTAATGTTTTTCTTTGCTATTGGAGATGTGTGCACAATAATTTAAATAGTTGCATAGTTTATAGCGTTATTATGTAAAATCGGCAAAACTTATAACAACAACACAACATTGTAAAAGGATTCTAAAACCTTTTCAGATCTACGAGCCATGCTGGTGGTGTCCATGGGGAATCCCGCAAACACTGTTTCGCGTTCTTTTGAGGTAAATCTTATAGAAAATAGTTATTTTTATAGTTTTTACTAGTGATAAGCTTCAAAGTTAAATAAAGCTGCTTGTTACTTTAGCAAGAATTTGGGAATTATGGCTAATTCCTCAAAAAAATGTTCGCCGATAATTTTCAGTTGACTTATAGCTGTCAATTATCACTATTAAACTATTAACTTTGTAAGCTACTATCTTTTCAAAAATAAGCCATAGAGCAGCTTCTGTGGGAGTCATAAGCCAAGAATGGTGCGCGGTTCGGCCCTTCTCCCTTCCACCCTTCCCTGTCAGGTCGTGCTGGTGGAGCAGTGGTATAAATGGTTTGGCACCGGCACGACCGTAGCCAAGCTCCTGGGTTCAATTCCGGGCCAGCACTACCCCTTTTGCTTGTTGGCCAGTAGGTGTGCCCATGCCAGTGGAGGCCTGAAATGCAACATTTTTTTGAAAATTCGTTTTCCAGCAGCTGTAATACTGATTTATTTGGCTTGGCCGGCCCTCATTTGAGATTTATGTGGAAATTTAGATAACTTTTAATTACTCCAAGTATAATTTTGGCACCTTTCAGACGCCTTCCAAAACTTCCGTTCGAGCGTGAGATCGTAGAACTGAATGATGGTGGCTGTCTGGCTATTGATTGGCTGCACCCAAAGAATGGGAACCAAGATACCCCAATCCTGTTGATGCTTCCAGGTTTGACTACGGTACACTAGAATGTACGATTAGGGCAGGGATGACGAGCTCCACTCATGATTGTGCCTACATTTTGTACTCGGCACGACTGGCTAACCGCAAGGGATATCGGGTACGTTGCAGTACGCCAATTTTTCAAACATTTTAGGTGATCGTCGTTAATCCACGTGGTCTTGGAGGGGTTCCATTAAAAACGGCAAGAACCTATAACCCTTCAAAAATTGATGATCTTGAGACGGTGATCACGGTCAGGATTTTGCTTTAATAAAACTTCATATTTTTTAGTTAGTAACTAAAAAATACCCATCAGCTCGTAAAATGGGTGCCGGCTTCAGCTTGGGTGGAATGTCCCTCTTCAACTATCTGAGTGCAAAGTGCAAGGTATCAACTTTTAAAATCGGCTAGGATCCCTCGCTAGAATACGGTGGGCCTCCATGCCGCCATGATCATCTCCTCGCCATGGGACCCAATCGAGGCGTCATTTGTCAACGAGCGTTTCTGGCCTCGGATCTTGTTCAACAAATTTTTGGCCGGTGTTTTACGGGATTACGTGAAGCCGTACAAGTAGGATCCCACCTTATATAATTTTGGAGTGTATCTCTGTGTGTGTGTGTCCGGCGCCAGGGAGGGCTACTTTGCATAATTCCAAAAAAATACAAATTTCCTCATTCTTGCAAGTTGCACGCGTGGGTGTGGTCGGAGGAAGGGAAGGGTCCGAAGGACCCAAGCTATCGGAAAGTCAAATTTCTCATGCAAAGGCCGCATTCCAGCGCCCAAGGCCCGCGAAGCGGGTTTTGGGCGCTGGTTTAAGAATAAAAAATAAGGCAACTGGTTAAGGCATCTATTCGAAGACAAATTTGACTGGGACCGAGCGATGAATTTGAAGAGCGTCCGAGAATATGACCATTTTGTTACGGCACCACTTTTTGGGCATAATGACTGGGCAGAATACTATCACCAGGTCAGCATAAAACTTTTGAAATATTAAAAGCTTTTAGGCCTCCCTATATCATCATCATAAAATCCATGGCATCCCGGTGCCGACATTATGCCTAAATGCTCGAGACGACTGCTTCAGCCCGTTGTCTAGTATTCCGTTTAAAGAGGTCTTTATCAAATTACGAATACCAAATAAAAACATATCATTCTTTAGATCCAAAACACAAAAAATTTGGTGTCTGTGACGACAAAACACGGTGGCCACCTCGCTTTTATGAGATCTGGAAACCCATCGGCTTTGGGACTCGACGAAATGGCACTTTCTCAGTTCTCAGATGCTGTTTTTAAATCGGATTATGATCATCTAGTCTAATAAAAGTCTAATCTAATCTTAAACTACGCGACTGCACTTTTAAAAAACATCAACAATTCGAAGGAGCAGTCGAAAACAAAGCGCACAAGTACCGAGGTCGTTCCCTGCCATTCAAAGAAATTCAAATTCGTCGAACCAAACTAGATCATCAAAAATCGGCTAGTGACTGGAGTAGAGAGAACATCGCACTTTGTTGGTCTTCAAGCGTGATTATTTCGGGGGGTATTTCGGCAAATAGGGCATATCTCTCTTTTCCGATCTCAATTCCAACAGAACGTTCTGGCGATCGGCAGTCCATTTGGCGAGCACCGATCACCAGGTCAAAAGGTTAGGCAAAAGATGCTGACAATCAAAGAGAGGACAAAGAATTAGGAGGACGAAAGATGCTGCTTAGAATGGATGGACTAGAGAATGACGAGTGCCACCATCGAACTCGTTGCGCTTTTGGAGGAGAGGGAGGGGATCCGATCCAATGGGGGATGGATGGGTATAAAAGTTGATTGTTGGAACCGGGAGATCAGACAATCAGGTCGTCTTCAAGAAGGAATGCATTCTCTACTTGTTCTACTCCTTGTTTTGGCTATGGTAATGGCTGTAGCTGCTCAATGGGGATATGGATATCCTTATGGTGGATACGGTGGATACGGAGGATATGGAGGATATTATGGCCGACCGTGGCGTGAGTTTTTAAATTATTTTAATTGATATTTTGTATATTTAATATTTATCTTTCAAACATTTTTTATTGCAGATCATCATCACCATCATCACCATGGATGGTGGGGACGCAAGTAGACGTGTCATGTACAAATAAATCGACTGACGGCACTTCGCCAACTGTACATCTGAATTCCTTACAAACAACGTTGGTGTATTTATGTATTAAAATGAATAAACACTGCCTTTATTATTTTGTGATACGCAGGAAGAACACTGCCGGACTGTCTAAATTTTTGAAAGACTTTCTATTTTTACAATAATATCTCTAACGGCGCCTGAAAAAAAGTTTATAATTTGAATTCTGAGATGTCGTTTTTATCTTACAATTCTGTTAGCCGTTTTATCTCTTAAAGCTGCCCATCCGTTAAATCCTGCAAATCCGAAACTCGCAAAATAATTGGATCGGCAGCTCGTAAAACCCACCGACCTTGACACTCATCCCGGATACCCCTCCCTTGCGGCACGATGTCTTTTTCAATGCTCTCACCTCATTCTCAATCCACATTTCAACGGCTTTTCATCGTCCCTGATCTGATCTGACCTCCCTCGGTCAGTTCCCTTCTCTGTAATTGTCGGGGCGTCATTTGATCGGGTTGATCTTACATAATTTTGAAAGGCTTTCCGATCAGAATCTAAAGTTACTAAAATATTGATTAATATTATGTCGCATAATGAAACTCTCGAATCAGTATAATATCCTTTACCAGGTCCAGATCAATTCAATTTTGATCAACGCGCTGAATTAATCAAATTAAGAAAAAAAATCGAAACTTTAAAAACTTTAAAACTTCAAAAAATTTGAAATAAGACAGGCAGAATTCCCGATTATATATCAATTTCTATACACTAGTCGTCGGTCCGGGAGAAATCCTGTAGATCGATATTCCCCAGTCGAGGTTTTCAGTTTTCGAAATTTGGGCTAGTGGAGATTCCCCCACTCAACATTCCGTTAATCGAGATTTTGCAGCCGAGATTCTAATACAATTCCCTTAAATCGCATCATCCTCTTTGTTGACTACAATTCATTCCATTGATCAAAGGGAGGAAGGGGGGTGCTGTATGTATGTGGCGGAATCATGTTCCCACCACGTAACGTTCGCCTACTTTTGATTCTCAAAGGGATCCCGCAACGCCGCCAGCAGGGGTTAGTCATTTTTGTGCCCCGGGGCGGGCGGAGGGCACACCGCCTCAACAAATGAATTCCATTTTTTTCGTTACGATCCGATCGGGATACGGTAGATGCTGGTTTTTGGAAGTTTTTGTACAAATTCCAGCAATTCAAAAATAAAAAAAAAAAAACAAAAAAAAAAAAAAAAAAAAAAAAAAAAAAAAAAAAAAAAAAAAAAAAAAAAATTAATTTAAAAACCAAAACCCCCCCAACCTTTAAATTTAAAAAAAAAACCCCCAAAAAAAAAAAAAATTTAAAAAAAAAAAAAAAAAAAAAAAAAAACCCCCCAAAAAAAAAAAAAAAAAAAAAAAAAAAAAAAAAAAAAAAAAAACAAAAAAAAAAAAAAAAAAAAAAAAAAAAAAAAAAAAAAAAAAAAAAAAAAAAAAAAAAAAAAAAAAAAAAAAAAAAAAAATTAAAAAAAAAAACCCCCCCCCCCAAAAAAAAAAAAAAAAAAAAAAAAAAAAAAAAAAAAAAAAAAAAAAAAAAAAAAAAAAAAAAAAAAAATAAGTTCCGTCAAGAATTTCAAACCCAGATTGCCCGTACACAAAAATCCCCCGGATAACCCGGGCGGACATAGGATATCCACAGCGTCCCTGGATGGGTGTGCCATTGTTCCGGTCCCCTGGTCCATGTCGAGGTCTTCTCAAGAATTGTGCCCTGTCCGTCGTCGCGTCGCCCCCCACTCAACAGGGCGTCCATTGTACAGTCCCGTACACGGTGCAGCCCCCCCTATCACTTGACATCACACGCATCGTCAGGCCAATGTTCCATTCTTCACCCCATGGTGAATTTGACCGCTTGGATGGTTCTTTAAAGTTATCAAGCTAGGGAGACTGAAGCTTAGCCATTATGGAGGTTTGTAAACGGGCTGGGAACACCGCTTTTCTCTTCTATGTTTTAAGGTTCAGGATTCCATAAGAATTTTGTTTATTCCCACTTCCCGTAGCTGCAAATTTTTCTTCAGAACTTTTTGAGCCGGCTGTTTTCTAGACAAAAACTAAATTTTAATAGTGAAAATGGTTTTTTGTAAAAATCTGCTAAATTTGTAAAATAAACGGGCTGTGAAATTTGTAAAATTAATAAATCCGGTCGGTCTATTTTGCATCCAGTGACCTTTCATCCCTATTAAAAAAAAGGATTTCCTTGAGGTTCTGAGGAGCAGAACAACCTCACGGAAACGTGCAGCAGGGCGCTATATTATTTAATGAATTAAGTGGGGCCAAGCAGCACGCGACGCGCTGCGGTCTAACAAGTGCCGCAAAACCAAAAGCCCACCTCCCCTCCCTTAAAAACCAAAAAATCCCAATAATTTTGGACCCCACCACGACCCCGTCCCTACCCTCAATATACTGTTATTACCTCCCTCCTCCTCCCAAAAAATCACCCCATTCCTGTAGGGTCTCGTGTCACAACCCCCCCATCCCCAACAGGTAAACCTAATAAAAAGAATGAAGAGGGTATGGGGGTGGGAGGTAGTAAGTAGATGGGCAACGGAATGGATAGAGGGTGGAAAACATGTCAGTTCCCTGTCCTGTCCTCCCACAAACAGACCTCAAGGCTATCGGGGGGCTTGTCGGCACCAGCCCCAAACCAAGCCCTCACGGAACTACGATCAAAGAGAAGCCGATTGTTTTGACGAATTTTTGGGGGTTTATATATTTTTATATTGTGATTTAAGGCTATATTGAGTCTAACAAATATTTAGGGGTTTTTCGTGGCGCATTAGAATTTTATTTTATTCTTTTCTGCAAGTACTCAATCGCATTGGTTGATGTATATTTGAATGCAATTAAGCAAAATTATATAATGACTCAAAATTTAGTAAAAATTTGCAAGAGGCTTTTAAAAGGCTAGAATAGAAGCAGCCTTAAAAAATGACTTCCCAAAATTACTGGCACCACAACAGCTATGCTAGTTTGATAAAATCGTTTCTGTCATAATTTTTTTCTATTCTTATAAAATTTTTTATATTGTTTTAAACAACATAGAAAAGGTTTCTAACCAGTTTTTATTTTCTTCTTCCATACCTATGTCTATATATCTAATTTGGTATGTGATGACTAATTTCTGCAAAATCCACCCTTTTTTCTAAGTTCTTTGCCGAACAGTTCGGCCTAAACCCCCAAATTTTTCGCCTATATCAGGTTTGCCATGTTTCTCAGCATCGTCCATCCTACCCTCCGTTCCTTTCCCCCATCAATCCAATCGCCTGGGAATAATTGCATTGACGGTGCACAACACTGTGTTCCTCTTAAATATTTATTTGAATTTTTGACGTAGGAATTTTGTCCTGGTTTTTTTCAGTTTTGACTTACCTTACCGAAACGTCACCGCAAATTTTGTAAATATTAATTTGTAAAATTTTAAATAACCAGGGAAGTACCTGAACGCGTTTTTCGCCTAGAAAAAGGAACGCTATCCGGCAAATTTTTTTGCGTTCGTCAATAGTCCGCGCTGAAATCCACACAGTAAAACTAGAAAAATCCATTCAAAAACCTATAATTCTACGCAGCATTATGAACTGGTGCACTATTCGGATAACCGCGCGGAGGGTAGGGGCCACCGGGATATAGGGGCATTCCCATTGCCAACTCTGCCCAAATTCCATTTTTTGTAGAGCTTTTGCTTTTTGCTCTTCCTTACCCAGCAAGCTATATTGGTTTTGTTTTTTTTTTTTCTAAAGCAATAACCAATTCAAATTCTCCCTAGGTTTTTAGTTTTCCCTACCTGGGCTCGAATAATAATAATAAAAATAACAATAATAATATAATCAGGGCACTATTTACCCTTCCCTCCAGTTATTTAGAGGTCATGTTGTCCCGGGGAGGCCCGTGTTCAAGCTGATAAAAAGGGTATCTCTGGCCCCCAAACTTTTCTATCATTTTTTACCTTTAAATGCTATAAATTTCAGCTCTCCCTTTTTCGGATTACCGCGTCATAATTGCATCAATTTAGATAATGGGCAGAATATTTCTGGAGGATTGGTACGACTTCTTTGCGCCCGGTGAGTTGAAAAAAATGGTTTAATCGAAAGAATTCAGAAAAATCGTGGCCATTCGCGTTGTTGTGCTCGATTCTGACGGCTGTATTCTTTTTGATGATTCTGACGTGTTCGTCAATTCATTATAAGAGGTAAAATTTGGAAATTAAATTTGGGTCCTATTTTCTTACATTAAAAGAACTCAAAACATGACTAACTGGGCACTTGCGTATTTTTAAAAGTTGTATCCAGAAAAATGAAAGAGAAAGCTATATGAAATTTTCCGAACATTAAATTATAAATATTTATTGAAAGTAATCGTAGTATCAAGCTTTAAAAAAACTTGATTTTCAGGATTTTATCAGCGCCTAAAACCTTTTTTCAGAAGAAACGAGCGCACCGCGTCATTCAGCTTAAAAGACGAACTGGCCACACCGCAAAATGTCTACTATTAACGCGAGAAAAATATAACATTGCTTTCAATTGCTTTTACGACCTCTTTCTTTCTATTACTCCGCTCAAAACCCATCCGCATTTCCCCCTCTTCTCCCCCGTTTCACTCCCGGCGAATCGTTCCGTCACGATACTCAACACTCGAATATATTCATTGTCATTACGAACGATTAATGGGAAATTTTTATCTATGGTTTGTGTTGTATAGAATAAACTATGTGCAAAACTCTGGGTGGCTACCTACAGGGAGTTGGTTGGGGGGGTGGTAATCGGATCTTATTGGGTAAGGGGGGGATACTAGAGCTGTCTTTCTTTTTAGGTGTAAGATTGGCATTAGACATTCGTACAGGTGCCTAGGGTAAACATTCCACGCCTATCCACGTCGCAAAAGGGTTGGGTATTACGTGGGGTTGGGTCAGTTGTGGGGTGAAGCTCCGGAGCGGTCCGCTCGTCCAGATTTCTTCGGTTATGTTAAGATGTTCAAAATGTT